TGCCAGTCGACCATCTTTGATCCAATTGCGAAATAAATCGCCATGGACATGTATCCGGACATGTATAATCTATGTACCAAGTTTAAATGACAACTGACAAAGCATGTTCAAAATACAACATTTTCAAAAAACAAGATGGCTGCCAGTCGGACATTTTGAATCGAATCGCTAAACCACTGCATGTGCATATGTCCCACATAAGGTACTAGGCACATGCAAAGAATGAACGGAAACGGTCCACAGGATTCTGAAATATGACGTTGGACAGACTGACGCACAGACAGACGGACGGTCAGACGGACAGACTCAGGAACTCACGAACGGTTGGGACATGTATTCTAACATGTATGATCTATGTACTAAATTTGAATGAAAACTGACAAAGCATGTCCAAAATACGACATTTAAAAAAACAAGATGGCTGCCAGTCGGCCATCTTTGATCCAATTGTGAAATAAGTCGTCATGAACATGTATCCTAACATGTATAATCTATGTACCAAGTTTGAATGAAAACTGACAAAGCATGTCCAAAATACAACATTTTCAAAAAACAAGATGGCTGCCAGTCGGCCATTTTGAATCGAATCGCTAAACCACTGCATATGTCCCACATAAAGTACTAGGCACATGCAAAGAATGAACAGAATCGGTCCAAGGGATTCTGAGATATGACTCCGGACGGACGCACAGATGCACGGACACACGGACGCACAGACGGACGGACGGAGACCGAATTTTAAGTCCCCATTTTCGGACTTTGTCCGAACGGGGACTAAAAAAAAAAACACCATTCATTTAATATTTGTGCTAAATGCCGTAAGCGCACTGTTTAACTCCAATTGTAGCTTCAAGTATCACAGATATTTTTTCGTGATGAGGGTCACAAGACGCAGGGCAATGTGGTTGCCACCATATTGAACTGAAAGCTTGACCTGTGTCATGTAGTCAATCTTTGGGATTGCACCATAGAATCCAGCAACACCTTTGTCTATATTGCTTTCAATGCAGAACTTTCATTTCCCATTGCAATGTTAATCTGTTTAGTGTATTTGATGTAGGATAAGTCTTACAGCAAGGCAAAAACATTGCCACTAGAAAAAAAAACACTTTTGGGGGAATTACCAGTACCTACAAATCATGTTTGTTACAGATTTGGGACAAATGTAAACAATATTTTTTTTCCCAGAATTGCTCAAAATATATATATTCACCTGATGACAGCAATAACATTATCAAATACAAAAAAAAGACTAAACTAAATTTAAATATATGTGCACCCCCCCCCCCAGCGAATGTCTCAATGGACGTTTATTTACTAATCACTGCAAGTGTATAGGTACAGGTATTATTTCAAGATTCTTGTTATAGCTCCATATTTTCTTTATGTACTCATTGTCAGTCAAATAATTCTCAATCTATAACTTCTACCTTTAAAATGCATTTAATAACTGTTGTAATGTTAGGATTATCAACAACACTATACAAAATATACACCATCTTCAGAAAGATATATATATATATCACTATAATTCATTTGTACCGTGAATACCGTAAAATCTGTATTAGAAGCCGCATCCCTAATAGAAGTCGCATCCATACTATTTGAATAATTGAGAACTAAAAATTCATCATTTCTCATATGTGTAGATGCTCTAATAGAAGCCGCATCCCCTCTGTTGCATTGTACCATTTTAATAGAAGCCGCGGCTTCTAATACAGATTTTACAGTAATCTCTTCATATTGAGGGAGTAAGTTTCCAATGTAGAGTCTCAAAAATACTTTAAAAAATGCTTTAACTCACAAGAAAAAAATTGTTGAAAATTTCCTGTTCAATGCAATGAAAGTTGAGAAAATTTTTAGGGACAAAAAAAATGTTTTACTTCTCAAAAAAAAATTTAATTTTCAGATTATTTAACAGGTACTACAATAAGATACATGTTCAAAGTTTAACATGTATTGAATAATACTTTGAATACAAACATTAAAGGTTTATTTAGATCAACAAAACAAGCAACATGCACTTTACCTATACACCAAATTGCACTAAAAAACAGGAGAAGGAAAGGTTTTAAAACTTAAAATTAATTAAATCGAAGCCTGCAATTATGAGAAGCAAAACCTTGGGGAGAAGCCACATTCAATGGTTTTAGTTTAAATGTATAAACAAAAAGACAATTTTAAAAATTAGAAACCTAACAATACTTCATTATTGAAGCCTTCAATGCAAGGTGTCACTCTCATGGTAGATTAAATTGTGAACAGCAATAGAAGGATGACTTTAATTGTACTTCATTGTTATATAATCATTCTTTTGACATTCTAAGCAGGGATCTCATAGTTCTTATTAACACATTGCCTGCTGACACAGTTTTTCCCCATTCATCCATAGATATCCATAGAAGTTTTCAGCAGACAATGTGTTAACCTTATGAATGCCATGTTTTTTTCAGTCTATATTTTGAGTATTACTGTAAAGGTGTTAATTATTCACTGGGTGTTAATTTTGCTTATTTCGCTGACTGGAAAATGCGCTAAATTAAAACCCAGTGAATATGTAAAACTTAGCATAGAACACATTATGAATGATAAAACCATGAATTTAAAACCCACTGTAAGCCTGAATTGGTAAATCAGCGAAATTTAAACCCAGTGAAAATTAGTAATTTTACAGTATTTTTCCCACCTTTCATGTGTTTTTGAC